GGAGGTTTTGAAAGCATGTGTGCAAGCTCCCAGCTGCTGGTGCTTCTTTAGTCTGACGATGTCTTTTGCTAATGTTGATCTGAAGGAGTTTATCCGATGTGTAGTTCCAGAAAACCTGCGGTTCCACCGAGTTGGCGGGCGTTGACTGCCACGGATCTTTATAGACTCATCGAAGTAATCATTGCATCATGTATTTAGTTTCTCACATGCTTGCGCCATCTACATTCGCGCAAGGGCAAGAATCACTTTTTTCTGGGCTTCGTTGTTCAAACCTGGCCGACTGCGAGCAGAATATTCCCACTGGGCAGGCGAATAATTAGAACGTGCCAAACATGTTCTGATCTTGTTTCCGACATCGGCTCAGTGCTCATATAGGTTGGTTTCGTATTTGCACTTGCAAACTTTATTTGCAAACGTGGGCCGCGTTTTGTTTTTTGTTCGTTTTTCGTCCCCTTCTTGGGGACGTGGGATCATCAAGCATGGAGGTGGGGATAGCCAACATAACTCGCAATGCGAGAGTGGCGGGCGGACTGTAGGGGGAGCAGGCCCTGGCCCGGCACCTGAACTCCCGCTATCGGGCTAATTATAGGGTTTGGGTTTCGGATTCAGGGCTTCGGATGATCAGGATCCTGCACCGTCAGTCTGCAAGCGTCGTGATAGGCCTCAGCAGCAGCTACATAGATCTTAGTAAAGGGCTCAGACCGAGCTTCTCCATTTTGCATCTGTTAGCAGCTGCTTCGGGTATGTACGGTCAGTGGAAGCAGCGGTTGAGCGACACTGGCACACGCGCAGGTGCCATCTATGCAGACAACGACATGACCGTCTCCGGTGGCAGTCTGACCATCAAGGAGTCCACGGCTAAACAGGATGGAGGCAGTGGGAGTAGGTTGCTTGGGACGGGGACGAGGGATCCCCAAGTAGTTGCAGGTAGTCGCAAGGCTGACGGGTTTGGGGGCAGATGCAGCCCTTGCTGTAGCTAGCAAGTCACAACTAAAGTAGGTGTCCCAGCATCGGATTGAATCTGTTATATTAAGCGTTATACACGCGGCGGAGCAACTTCTGCCATGTGCAGGCACTTGCTGTCAAGAGCCCTGTCCGAAGTAACGACCCGTGCGTAAAGTAGGGAGCCCGCTGACCGTGACTGTGACTGGTAGGATTGCCTCTATAAGCACCGGCCTGCAACATTTCGATCCCCAACTCGAGAAAACCTTTGAACCAATCGTTCTTGTATGTTGGGTACTGCGGTTGCTTGTTGCAAGAGCTCGCAGCCTGATCCTGCCGCCGCCTGTTGCATGAGCCGATTGTCGTGGCTAGAGGTCGTCTCGCAGGCTGAACCCTCCATCATTCGGCACTCGCTGGAAAACAACTCATGCTGGCGCACTAGCAGTTGGCTGTGGTTTCGTAAAACCAAGCCGAATGACTAGCGGGAAGTTGCTGCTTCCTCAGGGCTAATCCTAATCCGCACCTGCTCCGGAGGCTGCATCTACACCGGAGCTTTCGATCAGTTCGGCGGCGCCGTGAGCCTTGAGGGCTGCAAAACAGAAAACCAAGGAGGCGCCGGGCCCGCGTTTCTAGGAGTCCTGAAAGTGCAGGGGGCAAGGAATTTGGCGGTGGGGTTTGCTCCACAAAGCTCGCAAGTTTGTTCGGTCTCACACTCGCGTGTGAGCGGGAGGATTATAGAGGGGAGCAGGCCCAGGCCCGGCCCCGGGAAGTCCCGCTTTCGGTATCAGGGTTTAGGGTTTCCGGTTCAGGGCTTAGGCAGCTGCTTCGGATTCGGGTATACAGGTAATATATTATTCAGCTGTTGAGCGATGCCGCCACACGCGCACAGGTGCCATCTATGCAAGCCACGACATCGTCGTGTCCGGTGGCAACGTGATTATCAGGGAGTCTAAGGTTCGTGAGGGGAGTGGAGGCCCGGGGGGGTGGGTTGCTCTCAGGGTTCTGGGACTGGGACGAGGGATCCCCCTAAAAAGTGGCACACAGAGATTCATGGGCTCTGCAGTCTCGGGCGGAGGGTTCGTCAAACCCTAAACCCCAAACCCTAAACCTTTTCTTAGCGCTGAGGCCTTTCGGGGCACAGCAGCCCAGCATGGCCCAGCAACCATGACTCCCACAAAATTTGCTTATAAGCCTCACTCACAGTGATCACTCTTATCTAGGGTACTGTATTAGGGTCCCCTATGTTCGGAAACCCCCAGCTGGCACACTGGCGAATGTCTGGTGTCTCAAACCGAAGACAAACTGGTCAAGCTGCTACCGTGGCACCACATTCGCTTTCGATGCTTCGGAGACTTTCGGAAGAGTGCTGGTTCCTCAGGGCGAATCCACACCTGCTCCGGAGGCTGCATCTACACTAACGGCACTTTCGAGCAGTCCAACAGCACCGTG